ACACACACACACACACACACTCACACAAACACACACACTCACAGCGCTGCAGAACACGTCTGAACTGAACAAGTGAGACAGAGATGGAGGAAGATATCAAAGACAGCTGAGAGTCCAAACAGCTGATAAAAACATCACAATAATCCACAAGTAATCCACAGCCACCCATTCACTGCAGAGCATCCATTGCTGAGACACTGATGCAGTGCTACATTTCTCCAAACCTGATGAAGAAACAAACTCATCACATTACACAACTGCGATCATAAGTTTACTTTTCTGGAAAACATGTGAATATCTTCTGCAGCTTTGAATCAAATAAGAAAAAATATATATATTTAAAACATAGCGAGCCCTGTCATATGTTGTTTAATTAGTTCCGAATGATCTTCCAGCACAGAGGCGGTGATTTAAAGCCGTGTTAATCAGTGTAGAGTCTCAGCGCTCTGTCCATCAGTTCAGCCTAACGACTCCAGCAGCAGATCCTAACGAGCGCTCGACGTCTTCTCCTTCTTCACAATAGTGCGTTCGGCCCAATTAGTGCTGCGGTGTTCCTCGACTGTCTGATAAAGGCCAAGCTCAGCGTCTGATTGGATGAGAGACACACATCTGCTCTAATGACCCTAACGACCCGCTACACATCACATGACCCCACATCACACCCAACAGATGCATGAACACTAATGCACTAATTTACAGTAAGGTCTCATTCATTAACATTAGTCAATGCATTGGTTAACATGAACTATGAGCAATATGTGTTTTACATGAATTAACCTTTGTTAACAGTGCTATTTTAGTATCTTTGAGATGCTATTGCAGATTTTAATTAATATTATGAATCAGTTTTTATTGTTTATATACCTTACCAAATACAGTAAGAATAAAGGGTTTAAAACCACATTATATGTAACAAATTATATACACATTATATGATATAACTCACATTATATGTAACAAATATTTGTAAAATATTGACAAATTTATTTATTTATTTTTTGCAAGTAAAAACAATAAATTAACTTAGTTAACCAATTAAGTTTTACTGTAGCATTTTACTGTAAAAGTTAAACACATTTTTGCTAACGCTTTACAATAAGGTTTCACTTGTTAACATTAGTTAAATACATTAGTCAATATGAACTAACAATAAACAATACTTGTGCCGCATTTATTAGTCTTAGTTAATGTTAATTTTAACATTTACTAATATGTTTTTTAATTAGAAAATAAAATGAATAAAAATAAATAATTAAAAATGTCTATCTGTGTGGGAAAAATAAAATTAAAAATATTTTTTGTATTTAAATAATTAAATATTTGTATTAAAATAATTAAATAAATAAAAAAATATTATAAATTATTTCAGTTAATGCACTGTGAACAAGCAATGACATTTTTTGTATTGCCTAACATTAACAAAGGTAAATAAATTATATATATATACATTTACTAATGTTAACAGACCTTACTGTAAAGTATTACCACATTTTACCATATTACCACATGAACAAACAATGTATTTTTTTTTGTCTAACATTGACAAGACTATTAAATGT